CCAGCGACGGCAGCTGGGGCCCGACTGCGGCGACGCCTTTTATACCGCGGGGCGGGGCGGGACTGCGGGAGGTGGAAGGCGAAGGACCCCGCCGCTGCCTCACAGACACAACCCGGAGGCGTCCGCGCAGATCGCCTGAACGGGCACGAGGAAATGGCACAGGGAGCCCGCCCGCGGGACACAACCGCCCTGCCCACCGCCACTTCGATGCAGGGAGGCGAGGGGTGAAGGGATGCCCAGCATGTAAACAGCCGGGCGGGGGAGATTAAGCAAGAGCCACGGCGTCTCTCAGGCAGAGGGTGTCTAACCAGAAAAGCCGCCTCACATGGCAACGGCAACAGGCTCATAATGGGTGGAGGGGGCTTATCCCAGCACGTGTGCGCTGCTAGCCCCCCCCAGTGATGTTGGCAGCTTTCAGGGCTAGGCCCCATGCCCAGCCTGCAGCTTTTCAACAGTCCTTTCCTCGTCTACCAGGAGAGGGCGTGGCACAGACTCCCCTGGGGCAAAGCTCCCAGCTCTAGCACTAGCTCCTTCTACAGCCATAGCCAACTCTCTTTCCACATTAGCAAAATGGGAGTGATGAGCTGGCTTTGGTGGGATTCGTTTGTACCCGGAAAAACACAAAGGAGTGCTGTGGCAACTGAACCCTGACAAGTTTATTTGGACATAAGCTTCCATAAGCAGGACCCTACTTTGTCAAATGAGTTCCAGCCCAACAAAAGCTTGTGCCCAAATAAATGTGTTAGTCTTTAAGGTGCTATAGCACTGTTTTTTGTTGTTTTTGGTTTTTGCTGCAACAGACTAACACAGTTGCCCTTCCAAAACTCCTGCCTGTCAGGCAGGGACCAATTCTTCCTCTGAGTTTGTGCCTTGATCCTCATCTCTACATGCAAGCACTAAGGATGTAAGCGACTAGTCAACTATCAGATAAACAAAAGCTTATCGAAGAGTGGACATGCTAGTTGACTAGTCAGTCCCATCCCATCCCCGTTTCCCTCCTCCCCCGTCCCGTTGCCTCTATCACAAAGAGAGAGCAAGGGGGGTAAGAAGGTGGAGTGCAGGGGAAGCCAGTTCGCTGCAGCTCTGTGGGAGGGGGCAGAGATGCAGCAGCAGCAGCCAATTTTGAAATGTACAAGAGTCACCATTGGGACTCTTGTATATTTCAAAGCAGAAGCACTGCATGGAGCCTGGGGGAGTCCAGGCTTCACACAGCATTTAAATATTTGAAATGTACAAGAATGTCTGCTGGGGCTCTTGTACATTTTAAAGGTGGAATGCAGTAGTCCTTAACTAATCGAATAGTCAATGGAAATCCCATTGACTATTTGATTAATTAATTAATTGAAATTTAACATCCCTACCAAGCATTACAGCTAATCCTGATATATTCTGAAAATTATGTTTGTTGAAGGAGCATCGTAAAAAGTCTCAGGCCAGCTTGGACTTGATGGGTGTTATTGTGGTACAACACTTCAGCCCCAGTACCTTTCAGAGGAACAGAACCTCCTGCTTCAAAAAGATCCCTACCAGTTGTGCTAAAGGGAAATCTTATCAGCTCTGTGAACTTCATTTTCAGAGATTTAGTCCTAAATTTCCCTACCTTCCCCACAAGTTGTTCCCCCCCCCCCATTTTTAGTTACAGGAGAAATAATAAAATTGGTGTTATAGCAAAGTTACTTGCAGCATAATAGAACAAAACATGCAACTTTTTAATATTCCTGCATGAATAATTTTTGTGTCATTCATTTTGATTCTTAAACACACATTTATGTATCTTAAACTGGGAGGCTGCGTCTAGACTGGCAAGTTTTTCCGCAAAAGCATTGCTTTTGCGGAAAAACTTGCCAGCTGTCTACACTGGCCGCTTTGAATTTGCACAAGAACACTGACAATCTAATGTAAGATTGTCAGTGTTCTTCAGCAAA